AAAAAAAAAAAATCCCAACAAGTAAAAAAAGAGATTAACTTCCAGGCAGCTCAGGTCCATGAATGTGCTCGCAGGAATGGAGAAGGGATCAGAAAGCCGAGGCCAGGATTGTGGCAGTCCCATTTTAGATCAGTTTAGGTTGCTGAAGCACCACACCCTAAGATTACTTCAGCTGAAAAAAGACGGAAAATGACCCGCGTCTTTTTATCTACATATTCCGTTCTTTGTCAAATTCTTTTTTTTTCACTGTATACTTTTTTCTTCTTGAAAAACTGAACTCAGAGAAATAAGCAAGAAAGTTCTTAATAGAAATCACAAAATGTTAGTTCCTGAAACGTCCTTAAGGATACTACTCACCAGAAATCTGATTTCAGTTCCTAAAACTCAAGCTGTGGTTAAACAGAGCTTTCAAAATAGTAACACTGACATTATTAGAAGATGGTATTTCAGAAAACCAAGCTGTGTGTAAGATGACAACAACAGAACTCCAGCAGAAGATGAACATAAAATCACAATAAAGTAGGCCAAGGTATTTTGAAAAGCACCTTGTAAAAAACATAAAGCTAATACTTGAAATATTATTTATTTTATGAAAACCACACAGCTAAATAACCAAAGGGGCTTGTAAAACAAGTAAGCTGCAAATACAGGCCCAAGAATGGATGTTAAAGGCCAGTACCAAAAAGTAAGGCAGTAATTGACCTTAGCATTCACTGCAGAAGAGACTAAAAAGCTCCCTGAAAGCTTGTCTTGACAGGATATATTTAAAGACCTGTTTCTGAGACTCAAGGAAAGAGGCTTTAAAACAAGCCAAGAAAATGACCAATAAATCAACCGGATATGAATGTATTAACCCAAGAGTTATAAAGCACTGCAAAAATATAACTGGTCAACTACTAATTGTGGTAGGCAAGTACAGTGCCACTGGTGTTGCTGCAGGTGGCCTGAAAGGACCAATTTCCACTCCAGGTACCACCCAGGGGCCTAATCAACAAATACGCTCAATGTCCTTACCTGAAAAACAGGTAATAATAACAACAAAGTGTGAGCTACTAGACTTGTGGCTAAAGAAGCTACTAGGAAAGTAGTGCCTCATATATATTAGCATTCTGAGAGAACAGGAGTGTGTGGGTAAATACAACAGTTAATGTAGCACACCAGGACTTTTCAAACTCCCTCACAAAATGCTTTTGCATATTTAGTTTACTGAACAACAGAACAAAGTATTTGATGAAATTCAATGTCTAAAATAACACATGAGGAAAATAAATCTACACAGCAAATTATTTCAGTGTAGTTATTACCACTCCAAAAAAAAAAAACTGAAAAGAAAAGAGAGCTTGGAGTGACTATGAAACATCAGAAAGAAAACAAAATCGTAAGCATTCTTCGCTATAAATCCATGCTACCTTTGTATCACAAATACTTCCTTGCAGCTCTGGTCATCCATCTCAAATAAATAAAAAAATACTTCATGAGATATGAAGCATATAGACAGAAATAAGGAATAAAGTCATTATTTTTTCCCCATACTAAGAACTATTTTATATAGACTAATATTTTCTGATTTAAAAAAAAAAAGGATAGTACAAAAGAGACAAATTACATAAGTCTGTAAGTCACTGATGGTGTGAAGAAAATAAATAATTCTTCCATATTGACCATTTCTGACAGAAGAAATTATCAAAGCCTAGAAACAGAAGAAAAGAGGTCATCCTCTATGCAGTATTTCATAAAACTGAATAGTGCAGGTATGGTGGTAGGTAGGCCAAGAACACAAAAGCTGCCAGATAAAGGTTACACAAATTCATAACAGACAGGTCCTTTAGAAGGCATAAAAATCTAACAGCCCAAGATACACCCTCTGTCCCGGGGCCCCCCTGACTTGCCTGATGCTGAAAGGACACGCTGTGTTTGTTTTGTTTCTGTTACACTTCCTGGAGCATCCACCACTGAACCTCATCCTCCCCAGGTTCCTGCAGTCACCAACTGCTCAGGTCTGTCCAGAACCACAAGTCCACCTCAGGTGTGGGAGAGGGGGACAGAGGTGCAGCCTGGACACCCGCAGGGAAATCTGCTGAGAGATCTAAGCCAAGAAAGAAGACTTGGAGAGGTCACCACAGGCCTCCGCAACTAGAGATAGGACATCTGACTAGGTCAGACATAACCACTGCCTCTCATAAGAGCTCATCTGCCATTTCAATTATAAGCTTTTGTTTATCGAACAAAAGTTTGCAACTTCTTCATTGCAAAGCGAAAGCTTAGACACAAAACTGTTTGCGGAAGTTAAACAAGGTAGCAGGTTCTTCCCCATGTCAAGCTTTTCCAGAGGTCACATTCAGCTCCAATGGCTTCGGGCTCTGGCAGCGACTCTCCAAACAGAGCTATGAAGGAAAGCCATTTACATGATTTTGCCCGGAGAGGTTGTGGAGTTTTCCTCACTGGAGATATTCCAAGAACCATCTGGACACAATCCTGTCCCATGTGCTCCATGATGACCCTGCTTGAGAAGGGAGGTTGGACCAGGAGACCCACTGTGGTCCCTTCCAATTCGACCCGTTCTGAGATTATCCCGCCGTAACAGAACGCAGACTCCTGTGAGGAAAACTCCATAGAAGAACTCGAGTGTGAAGATAACGGGGTCTCACCGGCCCCCTGCAGAGAGCGGTGGCCCCCAAACGCTGCCCATCAGCGATGCCTTCAGCTAAAGCGGATGGTCTCTCCTTACCCTACACACTACTCATCACAGAGTCCTGCTAGAGGTGGGTGTGCCCTCTGCCCCCACCCCTCGCTTTACCCATCACCATAACCCCTGTAAGAGCCAGGGGTTCCCCTCTCACCACCGCATACGTTACCCCATCACTGACCCCTCTCAGAGGCGGGGGTGTCCCCCCACTCCCCCGCCCTGTCGCAGTGGTCTCTCCCTCTTTCCCTCCCTCCCTCCCCCGCGGTTGCCGTGGTCGCGCCCTGCCCTCACCGTAGCGCTGCGAGCGCGGCGGGCGCCCCAGCGCCTCCAGCCCGCCCGGCCCCCACAACAGCACCAGGGCCGGCACCAGCCACAGTCGGAGCCTCATGGTCCGGGCGCGGCTCCCTCCGGCACCGGCCGCCCGCTCGTTCGCATCCGCCCGAAGCAGCCTCGCACTCCGCCCGCCGCACTGGGCCCGCCGCCCTCCTGGGCCCGCACCCGGAAGCGCAGCGGCTGCGCGCGGGGCATTGTGGGGGCGGGCGGGGCCGCCATCTTGGGCGGCGGGGGCGGTGCTGAGGGAGGTGCGGCCGGGGCGGGAGCGGGAGCAGCGGGAGGGGGAGGCGGAGCGGCGGCCCCGGGCAGCCCTTGAGGATCCGGGGTGAGGTCCCTCGGTGCGGCGCGGGAGGAGTCACGGCGGCCGTGCTCTCTAGCGCCGGCTGCGCTGTGAGGGCGTGAGGCGCCGAGTGCTGCCTTCACAGAATCACGGAATGGGTCAGGGTGGAAGGGACCACAGTGGGTCATCTGGTACAACCTCCCTGCTCCAGCAGGGTCATCTTACAGCACACGGCACAGGATTGCGTCCGGATGGTTCTTGGAATATCTCCAGTGAGGGAGACTCCACAACCTCCCTGGTCAGTCTGTTCCAGTATGAGGTCACTCATAGTAAAGTTCTTCCTCATGTTCAGGTGGAACTTCTGTGCATCAGTTTCTGCCCTTTGCCTCTTGTTCTATTGCTTGGCACCACTGAGAAAAGCCTGGCTTCATTCAGATATTTACAGACATCGATGGGGTTCCCTCTGAGTTGTCTATTCTCAAGGCTGAAGAGGCCCAGCTCCCTCAGCTTTTCCTCAGAGATGCTCCAGTCCCCAAATCATCCTCATTGCCCTCCGCTGGACCTGCTCCTGCAGCTCCGTGTCTCTCCTGTACTGAGCAGGCCAGAACTGGACACATCAGTCCAGATGTGGCCTCTTCAGGGCTGGGTGGAAGGGGCAGGATCACCTCCCTTGACTGGCTGCCAATGCTCTTCCGACCAAGGGCACTTGCTTTCTTGGGGCATCCTCACCACGGCCCCCTCACCGGCCTCCCAGAGTGGGAACAGACCTCTGGAAAGGGAGGGGCTCTGGGTTCTGCAGCCTGTCCCTGGGGAGAGCAGGGGGTGTGGATCTCCCCAGGCAGGACCCCAGCGCTCTCGGGTCCCACACACTCAGTGGTGCCGCTCACAGCTGCGTTTGCAGCTTCTCCTCCTCCCATGCAAGTGACTCTGCTGGTGACTTTACAAGGTTTTGTGTAGTTTTCACAGCACGACTGAGGATTGTGGCCCTCAGTACAAATAATAACTGATGGATCCACAGTCGACTGTTCCCAAACAGCAACACCTTATTGGGACAAAAAACCAGGGAAACATACCTGAGTTACAGCTATGCTGTAGTGCTCCAGTTAATGTTCTCCAGAATTACCTCGATCTCTTACCTTTTTGCAGATGTCTCTGGCAAAGATGATTGCAAGTGATGTAATCATCAAAAATGGAGAAAAAGCATCCCCATTGCCTATCCTGCTTAAGCTGTGCTGCTCATTATTTAACCTGAAATACTTAAATAGCATCAATAGAATTATTCCTTTTTCAATTTTTCATAAGAAGGTAAGGTCAGATATACTGCTTAAACCAAGAGGGTGTCTCCCAGTTCTTGTTTCGAAAGATGGGAAGATTATAAGAGGCCAAACCGCTGGGGAAGCTTCCAGTGGATCCACTTTGAACTTCCAACAATTTGCATCCAGTGACTCCCGAAATCAGAGGTGGTAGTGTCTTGCTTAGCAGTGCTCACTATATCTCCTCCATACATTTCTCCAGTTGACTTGATGCTCAGGAAGTTCCACCTGAACATGAGGAAGAACTTTTTTACTGTGCAGTGACCTCACACAGAAACAGATTGCCCAGAGAGGTTGTGGAGTGTCCCTCACTGGAGATATTCCAGAACCATCAAGATGCAATCCTGTGCCATGTGCTCCAGGATGACCCTGCCTGAGCAGGGAGGTTGGACCAGATGACCCACTGTGGTCCCTTCCAACCTTACCCGTTCTGTGATTCCGTGACCTTCTGCTACTTGTAAGCTTGTAGCATCCATAACATCTCACTGCAGGGAGTTCTGGCACATTCACTGTATGTATGAACAATCACTTTCCTTGCTTTCCTGACATTTGGGACACTGTCTGATGACCCACCCCTGCTTCTTGCTTTGGAAAGTAAGAAGTAAAACAATTTTGCCTTCTCTGTGCCAGTCACCACTCTGTGGGCTCCATAAGATCCCCTTTCAGTCTGGTAAGGCTTCTCCTGCAAACTGACAAGTCCAAGTGAAATCTTGTTCTTTCCAAGGAAGTGTTTGTTGTTATTCTATGAACTTTACCATTTCTGCTATTCCTGTTTGTAGTGGTGGGACTGGAACTGCATATAGCGTTCCTGACAGAAGCACAGTGGGTTTATAAAGTGGCATAACAATATTCCCTGCCTTGTTCTCAATATTGTCACTAAATGTTTTTAGTATTCAATGTGGTGTTGATCTCCGCTAAGCTGCTGTTGTTCTACAAATAACATTAAACTTCCCAGCTCTCACTCCTGCAGTTTGGTGGTCAGTTCAGACACCATTATTCCACATGTGATGTAGGACTGTCTTTTCGCCATGTGCATTATTTTACATGTGTCTGTCTTCACGATCATCAGTCGTTTTCCTGCCAGGCACTGAGGCCTGTGTTCAGTTGCTCCCATGTGGGTGTCCAGCACTATCCCAGATGACACAGAGGGTCTGACTGAGGCTTCAGAGGAGCCTTGTGGGTCTCCATCGAGTCCTGTGCCAGAGCCAATAAGGTCTCTCCAATGAGTGCGGGTGGTTGAGCCCCAAACAGTGAAAGGTCTTTCTGCAGTTCTCAGCCACACCTTTTCTTTCCCTCCATGAATAACACGATACCATCAGCAATCTTTGTCTTGTCACTCCTTGCCTTATTCAAATTGTTTATGAATAAGCACAGAGATGTGAAGGTGCATTAGTGGCCTCTTACTGTGAAAACTGACCATTTACTTAGTCTTTTAACTGCATTTTAATCCATGCTGGGATCTTCTCTCTTATCCCATGGTTGCTTAGTTTCCTTAACAGCCTTTGGCAAGAAAGTCTTGAAAGTGATTCAGAAATCTCAGGAAACTGTATCTCTGCAATCCCTCTTATCCAAGTGCTTGCTGACACATTCAGAAAACTTCATACTGAGTGTATAAGGCAAAACTTCTCTTTGGAAGAAAAATGTCAACAAAACCCTTGTTGATCTTTCCCTGGTAAATCATATCTGTCCCTGTGTGCACTAATATATACGTATTTGTACTAGTCTGTGCAAAATAGGCATCAGTTTTAATGGTCTGTAGTTCCCATCTTTCCCCTAGAAACAATTCTAAGAAATAATGTAACATTTTATACAATCCACTTCTTAGATGCCAAGAAAGTTTTAAGCAAGAATTTATACCACTATTAACATTTCAGTTACTGCATCCTTGAGATTCCTGGATGAACAGAATCTGTTGAGAATCTGTCACTGTTCATTTTGTGTATTCTTAACTCATGAACCTCTTTGTAAGTCATCAACTCATTTTGAAACAGATCAGGGAGAAGTCCAATGATGAAGTGTTCCAGCAGCAGAACACAGACTCAGGAAGTTGTCTTGGGTTTTCCACCATGGCCTTAACATCTCCCAGTACTATTTTTGTAGCTGGTTCACTTGATGGGTTTTAGCTTCTGGCACCTGGTACACTAAGAATATTGAAACAGTATCAGATCCTCTTGAAAATGATTTATTAATGGGCTTTATGCATTTTATGACTTCGATGTAATTCATGAGATCTATCATAATGCTCTGAATTGGAGATTTCATAGGGGGGGGTTGTGTCTTATTCCTTTGTATGAGATTATTCCATGCTTGTGCTTAATCTTCTTACCTCTTTCTGGTCTTGGTTGGTTTTTTTCAGATATAATATACCCATTCTGAAGTATATAATATATAATTTTTCTCTACCCATTTCTTGATTCTAGTGACTTTCCTATTTTTTGACTTCTGCTGAGTACAGAATTGAGGTTTCAGGTAAGTGAGGCTTCGCCAGCTTTCCAAAATGTCTTTCCAAATTAGTAACAACTAAATAAATGCTCATCTTTGCATTTGGTGAAGGTTATACTTGGCATTTATAAACATCAATTTTCATTTGCCATTTTATCAGAAGCGATTTAATATTGCAGGATCTTTCTGCAAGTCTTAGAATCAAGTTTAAGTGGAACTTTTTGGAATGGGTTTGTTTTATCTGAGTACTATTTATCCCTATTTTCAGGTCATATATTGGACTGCAGAGGTCCCAGTACAGATCCATTTTTTTATCGATGGATGGACTTTCCTCTCTCTCACTCTTTTGTAACTTGTGAAGCAAAAAACAGAAAGCCAGGTAGAAGGTTTATTTTTCTGTTATCACTTGAATTTTCTCACTGACTAGGTTTGTTTCTTCCATTTACTTTTTATCTCACTTGATTGCCGGTAAATATTTTTAGGGTTATAGACTGTGATTTGTGTTTTGACAGAGCCCATCACAATGGAGTTGTTAGATAAAGTGTTTAGACTATTGCTATTTAATAATAACATAACAGTATATAGTAATTATGAGAAGTGTAATTGATTTAGCAATATTGTTTACTCAACACTAATAACAATAATTTATTTTGTATCAGCAGGTTAGTTTGATTGCAATTCTGGGTGTGATTTATTTTTTTTTCATTTATTTATTCAAATATATCATCTTGTGTCCAGTACAAGAGCACTTTTGGAGTGCGTTGATACTCGGAATTGAAAGAAATGCATTCTTTCCTACCCTCAGGAAGGAATTTGAGCCATTTTATTAAGGTAATTAGGGACTAAACAAGCATATGATAGATACATGGGATATAATTAGAAATTAATGGGAAGTAGCATGTAGTGTGTTTTGGTGAGGAATAGCACAACTACAGCACATTGAATTAAAAAAAAACCAAAACAATATAATATACATAGCCAGTAAAATGTGTTTCCCTGTATTAATAGCAAAAGCCAGAGATGTGCAGTGACAGATAACTGGGCAGCTAACCCTGTCCAGAAGAAGGGTTTAAGAGCAAGTGTTTGATGAAAGAGGTTAATCCACTAACTGGAGTGATTCCTAAAATATAGAGTTTAGCAGTTTGCTTGGAAAGGAGGTGAATTCTGTGGCCCTGGAGGAAGATGGAGGATTACCTTTGTTTTGTGAATGTTTGAATAGTAAATGATACCCCGAGGAAAAAGTCCTGATCTTGGTTCTGAGCTAAAGAGATAAGCAGAGCCCCTCCCCACCCATGTGGGAGAGGTAGGCTGCATAAAGCTCCATATTTTCCCATGGGAATTACTGAAACCCCTATTACATGTGGCTTTTGAATCTATGTGGGGTGAAGCCCTGGGAAGTGTGGTGACTTATAAGAATTGTTCTTCCTTTGGGAGGAGGATGGAATGAATGAGTTCATAAGTCTCTTCCCACTCATGATCATCTGCAAAAAAAAAAAATCCTTAAAAGCACTTGGAAGTTTCTCAAAGTAAAATAACCTCCAAAACACAGAAAAAAAACCCCAAAAGCAAAACATATCTCTGCTTGTGTAACACAAGGAGGGCTTTGTGTTTGTTCCATGCCATGGATCACGAGACCTAACAGCAAGACAGGTCTGCAAGAGTTAAAAGGCAGAAGACTGATCAATGTGATCAATGAGGTTAAGTCTTCTCCATCTTGCTAGTTGAGACTGTTCTGATAAATGAGATCTGGACTCCTGTAGCATACCAGTTCTGAAGTTCCTGTTAATTCCTCTCTTCCTGACCTCTTTTTTCTCCTCTGTTCTCTTCCATGGCTGTCTTCACCAAGTCATCTGACTTAGTCTCGTCTCTTTTATCTCCATGGATAATTTTTTTCCCATACAGCATTTCATTACTTCAAAGGCCTCACCCTTACTTAGCATTGTTTGGCCTATTGTCACTTTCTAAATACGTATAATAGCATCCCACATTAGTGATCCAGCAGTTTATAGTGTTAATAGTCTTTTCCCAACATTTCCCCTATATACTTAGCAAGACAGAAATTTGGCTACACCTATTGAAATCTACATATTCCAGTATTTTCTGACTGCGAGGAACTTTTCTGGTCTCCTGTGGTCTTCTGACTGATTTACCTGCTGTGCTAGTTTTGAAATCTGCTATTACTGCAATATAAAGGAAAGCAGAGAGATCAACATGAGGGAGCTTTTTAAAGACAGAAGCAACCTGAATTTGTTCTTCATAATTGTGAGCCTGTGTTCTCCATAATTATAATAACACATTATGCTTTTATTCCCTGAAGCATAACAAAGTTAATCTTCCTAGGGAGGGAATATACTCTTGTGAAGTTACTTCCTGCCACAGTCTTTTTAAAATCCACAAAGAAATTACTTGGCCCTACTTTCTGACACAAAGTGGTCCCAGTTTCTTATATCTGCCAGGAGATGGTGCTGCCAGTCTTCCATCTCTCCCTTTCCAGTTCTTAGGAAAGGTGGGACATGTATAAATAATGAAGATGCTTCTGCCGTCTGACTGGTGCACTTTTGTCCTAACAGGGAAACAGAAAACACCTCTCCATATTTAAAGCTTACTGCTATCTTAGAACTGGATGTACATATTTAAGATTCACCAGATGTCAATGGAAAAACCATTCAGGAACTCTGCAGAGTTTTCAAGTGCTCCATGACAGGATGATGAATACAAACCCCTCATCTTTATGATTTTCTGGGTAGTTTCACACATGCCTTTCTCACCTTTACAGACATCTCTGCATGCACTCTGGCAAGGTGATTCCTACTCTCACAGGCATCCCAGCCCTGTTCAGACAAAAAGAGCTTTGACAGTGATTTAAATGGAAGCAAGATGCAGTTTTAAATCTCATCGTAAATCCCTTTTGGTAATTGAGAGCGTTCTGTTGGCATCAATGTTAACGTGTCCCGTGGCTCCTGATTCCACTGATTTAATATATATCCTACTGATTTCTCTTCCCCACACTACAGCTGTCACAGACACTGCTGAAAGTTAACATCTCTGGTACCAATTCCTGCTTTTCAGAGGACATCTGATATTTTTATTTGTTCTCTTTTCTCTCCTGAGAAAAAGCTTCTCTGATGCGAACTGTAATAGAATAAAAGAGAATCCAAATATTCAATAAGATAAAATATACTTCATCTAGGCAATATTTTTGGTCAGACATTAGGACCAGATATTACTCCAGGAGTATTGTTAATGTAAAGGCAGCTCATGTGGAGCTTGGGGAAAATAATGAAATGTGGGACAGTCTCCAGCTGTACTATTTTGGTGTATGAGACACAGGTTGCCAGCATACTCCAGCAGCCCAAGCAAAACCTGGCAGCTGGACAACTGGATATCTCCTGTACTAAAAAAAAAAAATAATTAATTAGTAGGAATTTTAACTGATTAAATTTGCACACATTTGGATTTGGAAAGTTCTGCTGGCAATCTACCTTGTGCTGACTTCTTTGGTCCTATATCTGTGTGTATGTATATGTGTCTATGTCTATATACACATATGAACAGTCCCTGCTTAGGCTTAGAACTGTACAGAGACAATAAGAGACAAATGAAATTCTTTTGGGTAAACTCTGAAATCAGTATTCAGTGGCTTCACAAATGAGGTTTATTCTCATGTGTGAGAGTTGCAAGGTAGAACTCCCGGGATTTTTTTTCCCTCACTGGCTACGTTGGCAATATGGGATTTAAGCATAAGTGGAGGCTTAAACATGCCATGAAAAATTAATGTATTGAATGCTGTAACTGAAAAAGAGTGGACTAAAAAGAGGCTGTGCTGGAATGGATGCCTTCTAGGGGTTTTTTTGGCAAGATCTCAAATAGAGAGCAATTCATGGAATACATGGAATGTAGCATTAGAGTTTGCTTGCTGTTCCTAATTAGAGCTGTAGTATAGCACACTTGGGAATGTGGCATCATCAAGAGTTGCTTGAAAAGAGACAAATGCCTCAGCCAAGCAAGTAAGACCATGCATTTTCCTTGAGTGCCATGGTGAGAACAGGCACCTAGAGCCTCCTGCAGAATCAGATGCTCTTAAAAAAAACCTGCTTTGAAGGGATGCTGCAGAGATTCTCCTCCTGTACAATGAGAAGTTGCATGTCTGTCTGGATGCTCCTCTGGGCACCATCTTAAAGCCTCAACAGAGTGAAAAGAAAAGGACAAGAGGATCTCCTGTAGTGACCTAGTGGCTTTGGAGCAGAAGGACAGGACAGAGTTACCTCTAAATTGCACCACTGGCTGAATGAACACATTCACCTCAGACCTGGCAGAAAGCAGGCAGCTTTTTGCTGAGCTGGTGCAGCCCTCAGTGTAACAAGCTCTCAACCTGTTCAGAGGTTTCATTCTCCATACTTATTTTTGACCCTGCCAACTCACTGGTGTCTGAGCAACATAAGTGTGAAGCATTACTGCTCCAGGCTAGCAAATATTTCACACTGTAAGCAAGAAAACCCGGATCCAGCTTCTCACAGTTCTTTCTCAGATAGAATAGCTGAGGTGTGAGTGAGACCAAGAGGATTTATTTCTAAGTAATTTCTTTGCAAAAAAAGTTCATCAAATGACTTGGGTCTATGAACACTATGTCAAAATCTTCATGTGACCAGAATTTGCACATGCTACCTATTTCCAAAAAGAAAAGGAAACCTCTGTGAGCAGCCTGCATTTGGGACAGCAGTTCACCACTGCAAAATAGGCCTGCATGTGTCTTGGACTTGCAGACAGCCTACTGATGTCAGGCTCAGGAGCACCAGCTGGCTCATTTCATCCAACAGCTGGGGTTCAGGGTACCCAGACTGGCCATCCTCATGGAGGAACTTTGGTGCAGGAGCTGCCTTTGAACTGCTTAAGACCTACGTGTGATTCAAGAGTGACCTGCCCATCAACTGAGATTTCAAAACCTTTGTTTTTATATGTCTTAGTATTTATATGCCTTTGATCTCTCATTTTCATGGTGCCTCATTTCTCTCCACTGCAGGGCTTTCAGTTCTGTGTGCTTAAAATGTGACTCACACAGTCGCCGTTGCCCAGCCCTGCCCAGTTACACTGCTTTTGATTTGCTCACCAGCTCGATCTGATACAGGACACACAGCAGGAACACAGAGACAAGAGCACTTCCAAGGGACACTTCTGCTGCAGGACAGTGCTGCAGGTTCCCTTCTACAACTGTGCAGGCTCTCATCCTTCTCCTGGCTTAGCCAGAGCAGTTTGGTTGGAAGCATACTCTGTGTAGTGGTAGTAAAAAGCCTTGAGAGACCTGCACTGTGGATCAGCAAGTATGCCACTGAGCTGTGTTATTCATGGAGCTGTAGCTTAGATTGCCCTGGTAACACAGCTGTGCCATCATAAGGCACCTGGGAGCACTTTGGTGATTCTGCAATCACAAATGTCAAACTAGGTCAGTAGTCTCCAAACAGTTTGGACCCCTGAAGTGTAGTCAACTCTGAAAACTTATTGTAACATGTTATTAAAATTCTGCTTAAAAATGTGTTTTCATGTGGTTCTGCAGAACCCATAGCACTGGCTCACAGGACACAGTAAGGAAACCACTGGCCAAAATACTTCTTCAGCTGAAACTAACTCAAGGTACCTCTACAGAAGTGGGGAGTCCTCTGATTAAGTCTCTTCACCTTTCTGTGTGTGAATCAGTTTTCAGTGGTAGACCATGGATATTGATATACTTTAAATATGCAATGCAATTGCCAAGTACTCATAGTTATCATATACCTGCTGACCTAAAGCACCAATTTAAAAGCACTGGGAAATAACCTGAAAACAAACACAGAGCTAGACCCATTTTTAAGTGATGATCTTAGGGACAAGGTAATTTTCTTTATGAAAAGTGAGACCAAGCTCATGTTTCTTACATGTGACTGCATACTGTTACTGCTGAAGAACTGGTAGGCAGGAAGTTTTTAAGGTCTCTAAAGCAGAAAGCAGAGGCACAGAGTTTGCTGCAAATCTAGGACAGAAACTCATACTTGGTTATCACTCTTCTAATATTTTTGTTCTCAAAAGAGTACTGCTTTATATTTAACCAGGGATGTTAATATGGCTCTTTGTAAATTAAAGTATTTTTGCACATGAAGGAAAAGATAATAAAGGGAGTGTTTTGAGAGAATGTCTGTTCTGAGCAAATGCCTGTTAGTTAAGATAGTAGGTAAACAGCACTGTAATCAAAGGACTCAAACTCTTTTGAAGTTGCTGAGGAAATGTGTGACAAATATCATCAAGAATGTGGTTCAAAGGACACAGTTCATATCTATAAGACACATACAGAAGGCTTGATTCAGATCTTATGCTACTTGTATACCTGATTATATATATATATTTATATATTGTATATAAAATATATATCTTTATATGTTCAGCTGAATCAAACTTACTCTGCTGTCAGATATCAGCAGTGAGTAACCATTCTTGCTTTCTCTGGGATGCTGAGAAAAGCTCACCCTGTGGGCTCAGGGCAAAGAAGGACCCTGAAACAGGCCACCAAAGGGGCCATGAAAGATGAGGAGGTCAATAAGGTGACCAAGAAAAAGTCTCAGAGAAAAAACCCTCAAACTCTCTGGTACCATCAGAGCTTTTACTCTTGCACTTGTCCCCTTGATACCTTCTTCTCCTTTCCTTTTCCCTTTGAGCTTCACAAAAACTGTTCCAGTCTGACTAATTAAATGATGTGAGTATGGTTTGTCCTTGTATGTATTTGTAATTAAATTGCACTGAACTCTTAGGTACACTCATAGTTGATTTCGTTGTCTGGTTGGTTGGGTGTTTTTCATTTATTTGTGTTCACAAATACAGGTAACCAAAAGGGTGAAAGGTGTAAATAGTTATACAGAATCAAGGTCTACAGTTGTTGGGTTTCTGGATTGTCTCCCCCAAGAGAGGTCATTTGGAAAAGTCAGACAGAAGTGGTAACACTTGTGATGGAATACCATGGGTCTCCACCTACACTGTCCATCTCAGGACAGCATTGTTTGCACCATGAGACCTCGGGACTCTTGTCACAGTGGTCACCCTGCTTGGGTACCTTTGGCAGGAGTACAGACTGATCAGGTGTACCAAGCCTCTTCCAGCTGTATTTGCAGAAGCCTTACTGTAAGAGTCATTTCCCAGTAGGAATTAGTAAGATAAGCAGACTGTGACCTGCAAATTAAACCATCCTTTTGGTCAAAAGTCCATTCTTTTTTTGATAGAAACATTGCTGAAGCCAGTGTAAGCAAGGATGCATTGCTACTATTTTTGATGCAATTATACTGAGAATAAAGAAAACATCATTTTTCAGGACCTTTTACAACACTCAAGTTATTAGAACAAAATTAAGCCAGTCGAATTTTAGTGTCTTGCTATTGGACATGTTTTCTTATTTACCACAGCTGATACAAATCCAAGTCTTTTTCCCCTAAGAATACAGATTATTGGCTTTTCTGAATATCTGAGCAGTAGTCTAAAGCATAATTCACCAAGCCTTCAGACTGCAATGGTAGTTCACCAAGAATAAAAACACTACCACTGAACAGATAAACATATTTGTACTTAATGGCTTTTGCAGTAAGGGGTGTAAAATAAAAAGAAGATAGTATAAAAATAAAAGAAATTATGGTCTTGAGAGAAAAAACCAGCAACACTGCTGTTTATGTAAGATGAAGTAAGTATAGTGGCTGAGGATAACAGTAACATATTTGTTAGTGGATTAGTGAGAACAACTGCCTACATTAATATTTTTAATGCTACGTAGAGTATTAAGGACAATTTAGCATTAGGTGTGTTTCAGAGACACTTTGAAGCTGGAACCTGGTCTGGGAAGAGAGTTGAACCAGGTCATTTCCATAGGTCCTTCCAGCCTTAATGATTTTATGACTTTAAAGAATTATTGAAACTAAGCTGCTTTTATTAAAATATTTGCCTTGTTAGTGGCTGACATCATTGTCTAATGATAAGAGCAATGCAGGTGTGATGATAAGCTATAAAAAAATCATAATCAGTAAAGTATGAAGCCATAAACCAGCAGCTGTACTTTATAAATGTCTGTGTGCAATTTATGCAATGTAGAAAAACAATTTAAGTATTAGGAGATGTTTTTGTAAGATCTTTAAATATACATTACTTTTCTTGCTCCTATTAATGCAAAGATACTGCATATATGGTAGTAAGTAAACCTGAGCAGTTTTTAATATTGTATGACTTTATTAGTATTTTATATTGCTGGTTTTACTGTGCAAACCTCCAGAATTTCCTATAATAACCTAAACCATATTCAAATGCGCTATTTGAAAAGCTAAATTTACTTAAAGAGTAGGTATTTAATTGGCTATTCTTATCTAAGTCTACAAGAACACCCAGAAAATAGTTTATCTCTGTCTTTAAGGATTTATACTTTTATTACTGTTTTTCCGGACAACATGACCAGTAATTACTGTGTCAAATGTGGTTTCTAAATAGTCTTCACCTAAGATGCCATAATTAAAGCAATATATTTCATGCAAAAATGTAACAACATTTTTCTGTGTCTGTTTGAGTCCAGAAATCTGAGTTATGCAAAGGCAGGAGTGGCTCAGAGGACTGCAAGTCACAGCTAATGATGTGTCGTTAGTGGCGCGGGGTCAGCCTAGGTCCTTAGTAACCAGAAGTTGTTAGCAGCTTATTATAACTAATTTCCAACATGAAATGAGAGTCTTCTGCAAGCAGACATGGTAACATCTCATAAATAAAAACATATATACACATGAATACATGTAAAAATATACAATATAATACTTATAAATAAAATATGTATTTCATATACAAACACCAGCACAACTGAAACTATTTTCCCACCTTTTACTTCTCATGAATGTGGCACATTTTTAGGTTGTAAAAGAAATAATTCCAAATCCTCTTGATTTCCCAACTGAACTTAACAGGAGTCTTGCTTTAGATTGTTTCATTTTAATCAGTTAAACTTCTTTGGTGAACTAATTTTCTATGGATACTTACCAGATCATTTGTTTCTTGCCTCAGTCCCATATTCTCCTGTTTCCTTGATTACAGGCATTGGTACCAGGACATTTCATTCTGGAACACTACAGAAACAGCCTCCCACACAATAAATCATGGGAGAACTGAATGCAAGGTTTGTCTTTTGATGCTTAAAATTTTTTTTCACCCCTAAGCCCAGCTGTGAAGGTAGAAAGAAATTGGATCATACAGAATACCGGAAAGTTGTAGTAAGACATGTTTGGTTACCATCCCTGTGTTCTGCTCGGGTGTCATTTGGATTGACAGTTCTGCTAAGGATACCAAGGCTCTTTTGTAATGTTTGTCTTTTAGATATAACTCTTCTTTTTGCGCAATTTACTTTTGAGCCTTGGGAGCTTTCACTGTTGGAAAGTATTACTCCTAAAGAGACTTGATCATGCAGCCCTAATGAGTTAGAATCTGGTATCACTCACTTTCAGGCAACAATTAACATTATAAGACCAGAACCAGAATCCAGAGTAAACCAGACAAATAAACCTGCCCTGAGTCTGACAAATAGAGATGTTAAAAAGTCCTCATACTTGGGTTTTTGTTAGATAGCCACTTCATCCATCATAATTTGCATTGCCATGGGGAGGAGGAGTCCTCCTGGCCTCTACTCCCAGGCATTTCTCTTCCTGTGGAACTATGCAGTGTGGGGATCAGCATGTGGTTGGGGGAGGGATAAGGGAAAGGTGTCCATCCTTGGATGGGATTTTGCATTCTGGCTGCCTGATGCCAGACTAAGGGAGGTACTAGGGACAAGCAGAGGTGAGGCAGAAGGTTTCAAAGGCAGTATGGATTTGTGTTGGACTAAATTGACCTTGTAACTGTGACCTCAGTGGGATCCTCCAGAGCATATATCCAGTGCAGGAACTGGTTGTCAGCATAGCAGGCACAGCCCAGGAGAACAGGCTGTCACTGGAGCTTTGTACCCCAGCAATTCCCAGTTAATAAAACAGACACCACTGGCAGCGAGTATTAAGCAGCATAAACTTTGGGTTGCTGTACTTTGTAAGGCTCAGACCAATACATTTCATCCTGCAATATTGTTTAGAAGCAATGTGTAGTATTTTTAAGCCAAGGATCTTCAAATTAAGAAGGCAAGTAAACAAATTCCTAATAGCAAATAAGAGTTTTGGAAGTGGGTGGGTGCAAGTGAATATGAAAGCTGAGTGTCAAGGAAGAAAAACAAAGAAAAATACATCAAACTACATCTACCAGTTACTTTTGTCTCAATGAAATAGGTCTCTGAGGCAATTTCCCTGGACAGCAACAATCTCTCTGTTCCATTTGGTAAACATGGAAAAACTTCACAAGTCAAGGAAAAAACCAAGTAGGAACAGACAGAACATATGCTGTTAAATATAAGATTTTGAAGTTTTGGTCATTCCTTCCACAAAGGGCCCTCAGTAGCCAGACATTCCTAATTTCTAAATGTTAAACTTTCTTTATTATCATAGTATTTTTCTAATTAACCAATGAGATACACATGTATTTATTTTTATTTCTTAAGAGCTTGAAGATTTTCTTCTCACTGTTTTAGAAATTGTGATATCTTTGCACAGGAAAATACTTTAAGCAGAGGAATGCAGGGCATGGAAAACAATTGATATGCCTGTATCTTGTTCTTGTCTCTGGCTCCACAGGTGGGAGGGTGGAGAGAGTACTTCCTTTGGCCCACATGAGGAGGAAAGAGCTGATTAGCAGGGCCGATGGAATACAGGACTCATCCGACTTGGTACATGCAGGTAGGCCTGTAAGAGACATCGACTTCAGAAGGCTCCACAAAATGTGTAGTCAATAAATCTGAGCCACAAAACAGCTTTCAGCATCCTCTAACACAAAATACCTAAAGACTGAAAGCCACAACTATTAAAAAAATAAGGCACAAGAAGAGGTCAGGAGGAATTGGGCATTGCAGAAACCCTTGGTTCTGCAATAGTAGAAAGTATGACATAAAGTTCCAGTGAGAAGCACTCCACTTTCTCTTACAGAGAAGGAAATAAAATTTGTAACAGTTCTTCCAAAATGGAACTGAGAGGCAAACTCCTCCTGGATCCCAGTTGGCAAGATGAGCATCCATCTAGTAATTGCAGATCAGAGTTGTGAGGGATCTCAAGGGTAAACATCCACTTTCAGCCAACAGTGTGCTTCTGTGTAGTTTCCATCAAAAAAGCAGTAGTGTTTTATTGGTCATTATACCCTGCTTTTTAAAGTTCTTTATGTTGTACACCCTCACCTCTCCACCTAGCTGCAGGTATTCCTAAGTGCATTCTTGTAATCCATTATCATCTTAATGCTACAGTCAGGATTCTTTGGCCTTTGGTATTTGTTTTTGTTTGTAGGTATGATGTGAATAATGTTAATGGAGAATGATATAGATTGGATGCACCAAGAGGGAATAAGATTTCATGTACAAACTCTGCAGTATGAGGTTATGCTAATAAAATGTATTTCAAAGACTTATGCCATGATAATAATCTAAATGCTGATTTCAAAATTCTTCATATTCCAGATAAGATCTGACACTGCAAGACCTCAGACTACCTGGCTGAGGGAGAACAGTCAGCCAGCAAGAAGCACCAAGTGATGGGAAAGGAAAATTTGGCAATGGTCAGGGAAGATTCTACTTGCAAAAGAAAAAGAAAAGTCTCCTTTGGATTATGAGAGCCAGGTCATGGCTGATTTACAGACAGCAGCAAAAAAGCCATCTGAAGGCCAGTCCAACCAACTCTGCAGACCTCAGCGCTGTGCCTTGGCTCAGCAAGCCCATGCCATAGGTATACAAGGTATGATAATGTAGAAGTAGTCAGCACAGTGCTGCAATTCCAAAATCTTGTAGATGAGTTGTATGGGGTATTATTAAAACAGGCCATAGACTATGCAACTGCTTCTTTGAGCGGTTCTCATATCTCACTTGTATTCACTCATCAGCTGCATCAAACAGATGTCTTATGCAGCTGAGGAAGCAGTTCTGAATTCCAGGCAGAGCAAATGAAAAGTTAGTTTTAAGGGTTTCATCTAAAAGACCAACGTAATGATATAGGACTCTGTGACATTCAATTAATCAATGCTTTCAAGGTGATGGAATCAAGAATAACAGGATTTATTTGTTACACTGGCAGATATATTTTCCATATTTTTTTATCCTTGTCAGTCATGTGCTTGCATGACTAGTTGGGGAATCAGAGACAGCTCTAATGGAAAAGAGAAATTAGGTCATCTGGTCCATCCTCACTGCCAGGACATGACTGTTCCCTGCAGTGGATCACTTCCCACACAGTTATCTTTCCAGCAGTCTTTTGTAAGATGGAAATACAATTCAGAGTCCCATTTGGCTATGACTACCAGAGCTTTTGAGGACTTTTTATTTGGCCAAAAATGCTTAATGAGAGAATCAGAGCTAACAATTTTAAATAAATTTCAAAGAAAAAAAAGCAAATCTCAGAATTTCATTCTCAGTAAAAACCTTTTAATAGAAAAATTGTGCAATATTTGGGATAGGAAATTGTTTCTAGACTCAATTCTACAAATTAAACAATAGGTTTCCTGCTAAAAAGGTCAAGCAACTAGTTCAGTAAGTAGTGAAGCATCCAGTACTTGAGATGCTCTGAGCAGACTGTGATTAGGAGACTCAGCACTAGTGCTAGCTGACTGCAGGTAATCCGGCTGCCTTGATCCCCATCCTCCAGCAGAACATCTGAATGGCCAAGCCCTCAGACTCTACAGAGCAGGATTGGTTACTAAGGAAAAAAAAATAGCAAACACAAATGGAAAAACAGGGATAGAACTCACACATAAGTAAATGGCAAACTACTTCTCTTTCAGCAGCTTTAGCATTACTAACTTCCACACTGCCTGCAAATACGAATAACCCCCATCTTTTACCACTACATCACTGTGCTCATTGAGTAAATTCAATAGTTTGCATTAGTAAGTGGCAATCCAAATACTTCCCCGAGGTTGGTCTCCTTTCTCAAAGGACCTGTTTGCTTCATTTTACCAGATGTGGCCACGTAGTTTGGTTTAAGGATTCACTTTCTGAACTTAGGCAGGGATTCTCCAAACCCTGCTCAGCCTCGCTATAGCACTTCCTTTGGCCAACAAATTCTCATCCTTATTCCTATGCTTTTCTACATCAGTTCTTGGAATTACGTTTTTAGACCATCATCCTGCACTAGAGAATTTTGTTTGAACCCTGCAGCAACATTCTCACCAGACAGGATTCAAGAGCATTTAAAGAACTTCAGCAGAAACCCAGGAGTTCAGAAACAAGCTCATCAGGACAAAATGAGTAATGTCTTCTCTAGATCTTCTGTGAAGAGATCTTTTGTGAAAAGACCACAGCCACTGCAAACTCATGTACAAGTGCATATGGTTGCTTTTTAAGTCTCACCAAAGGAATCATAAGATTTTCTTGGTAAAAGATGCCTTTTTTCCTTCTCCAGAGTGCTCTCAGGTGCTTCAGAGTTCAGGAATAAAACAGGTTTCTCTCTATAGTTGCCTTACCAAGTCTTCAAATTAATCCACATAGCTTTTCCTTTTGTCTCCAGCAAGACTATAAAGAGATGACAGAGTTATTCCATCTCTACTATAAACCCTGAAGTCATTGCCAAGTTCTTATTATCCTCCCTATCTTTTAAAGTACATAGAGCACACACTATGTTTCATTTCTTTACATAAATAACGCTTGACCTTGTGTTAATTTAAATGGGCTTTACCCCATGGTTTTAGGTAGCCATTGAAGTTACCAAAGGTTGCCCAAAAATCACCAGTCATGAAAGGGTTAGCATGCCAGGTGTGAGTTCGCAGGGACATGACTTTTCTGGATGCTTGTGTGTGTAAACTTTACTGTAATAACAATAATGATTAGATCTGCTCTGACGTGACAATTTTCCTTGGTTTTGTTGCAGTAACAGGCTTCTAGATTCCACTTGATGAGGAAAGATGTGGTTACTAACAGAAGAACACACTAAATTATAGAGCTTTTGTGGGTGTAGCAATTTCCTATTGTTAGAGAAAAATGAAAAACGTTGCAGTATTACAAATCCACTGAACAGTCAATTTGTTTTCTTTCCCGTTACTTTCCTACTGCACTGTTTCATTCTGGTGGTTTATTAATTACTAGCAGGGCCTGCCTAGTTGTCTCAACAAGTGAAATTTATAGAGGCAAGGAATAAAACACAAAGTTCCAGGATGCTGATATCGATTCCATATTTGTATCTGGCTGAAAAAAAAATTATGTTACATTGGAAAGCTTAAGCACCTTTTAAAAATTGAAGTGCCTTTGACAAAAATGATCCATCCTTCTCCTCTATGGTTCTAATTGGACAAAAAATAATATTTGCAATTGACCCATCCATCAAGACAGACAGATAAACAAAATTTCCTTTCTATATTCTAAGACAGTACTCTAACAAGTGAGCCACCTTTATAAAGAGCAGCCATTTGGAAAGAAAATACAATGTTTATTTCTTTCAAATGTCAATGCTCATGTTGTTAAAGATCACTCTATTAGGCAATCAAAACAAGACTAGCGATTCCTCCTTCCTCACCTATTTTTTCCCTTTGCAATATAAATTCTTTGCAGACACACACCAAAGCAAATTGCCCCCCTTACCAACCAAATAATCATTGTCAAAATACAAATCTAACTATTGCAGACCATCAATAAACTGAATCCTCACTATAATCAGCAAAACCTTAAGCAAAAGGATGTGCAGCACTAGGACCTGCCTCTGAAAACTAATTACTGTTACAGATATATTGAAGCTCTGCAACTCCTACCATCCCTGCATACCACAAAAGGTTCCGGGAGCACTCAGATCTATTAATCTAAGATGCCTCTGTGCAGAGTTGCTGACAGCAGAATGCTTACTGGATTTTAGCCATCAGGCAGAACTGACACAAAAACAAGTGGGTATAAACTAGCTAAGAGAAAGCTTCTTATTTGGATTTCTAGCTATCAGCAAGCCAAGGACCTGGAACAGGCTTCCAGTACCAAACGAGGAAAAGAATCTAAATACAAGCCTGGATAAACATACTGTATAGTGCCTGTGATGGCAACGAGTGGGATGTGATGATCTGGGGAGTCTCCTCCAGACTTATTTTAAGTACATAAACCACAGCATAAGTTGTCCCACTTTGAAGCAAAAGTCTTGGTTAGGCTGGCACATTTAAGGTTTTATTCTCCACAGGAACAATTTATATTATTATTTCTACAATTTAATTTTTTTGTTGTTGTTATTTATCAAAGTTGCTGGTTTTCCATCACATTCCACAGCTCCACTAGAGGTGACCATGTGCTCTTGGTACAGAACAGCATGTAACTGTCTTGCTGCTTGCAGAAGAATGGAGCAGCACATAAACAGAGCTCTAAGCATCTTTTCAGCCCTGACCACAGAACAGACCTTCATGCTTCTGAGCATCCACACATCCCTGTTTTAAGTGACAAGATACTTTAAGTTCTTTCCACTCTGGAGATAATAATAAGAGATAGTTTGCATTCAATACTACTCTGATCTACGGACTCTTTTTTTATTCTCCTGCCTTAAAATGCACTTTCAGTGGCGATGATCTTGCTGTATCTCCTCCCCTCTGGGATCCTACACACCTTGCAGCACCTGGGTGCAGAGACCATCCTCTCCTGCAAGTATTTTCAAGGTGCAAGAGATGAGAACCATTTGTGCTTTCGAGAACAGCGTCTCTTCACTGGCCATCTAGCATGCACAGACCCTGCTCCAGATCCTTGGAAGGACAGGGTAGAAAGGACGGGGTGGGCAAAGACAGCTCGAGTAGAGCAGAGCAGGAGAGTAACCAGACCATTAGAAACACGTGTAGGAACAGAAATTTCACAGTAGAGTAGTTCTGAACTAGGCTGGAAAGTAATTTGAGTGGACCTAGAAAAAACCATCATTTTGTCTTCCACTGAGCATTATTTAAACTGCCTCAGATGGGATATAAATTGGGGGAAGGGACAAAATGGAATAGCAAAAATATGGACTCATTTCAATTGCCTCTGGCTGGGATTCCACTGTACACAAACTTCTCCAGTGACGCTCAGCTACTTCTTGAGAGCTCCCTCCTGTTCCTCCCACAGATAAAAATACCAACCATCGCTCAAGCACAGAGCTTAACAGCAATAAACTGGCATGAGAGTTTCCACTTGACACAATGCTTAGTGAGCACTAACATTTATTTAAAGCATTTTGGCATGGCTGTGTAGTAACAAATAACTATACTTTGAAGGCCCCCCCACGTGGGTATCTATTCTATGTCTGCATGAATCCTACTTGAAGACCTGATCTATGAAAATTGAATTATATTCTCAAGGTCCTGTATTTAAACTGATTAGTTCTAACATTAAGAGGTGAATTAAGTCATGAATGAAGTTTACCAACTACTGAAACCTTTTAAATCATATAGCATGATCTTGTTCAGATCATGTATTCTGATCAAATTAGCTATATGAATAGAATTTAAGTCACCGATACATTAAAATCAACAAAATTATGCTAACAGAGCAAAAGAAGCTTTTTATATGAGTCTGGATTTTTCAGAAAGGGTGAGAGTGGCAAAACCTTGACTCTGCCATCTTATAAAACAGCCACAAAGCATTGTTGCCTCCCAGTTCATGTTGGCATAATTTGTTCTCTGAATAGAAATGCATGCAATTTTTAAATTTCACCAGGCTAATTCATGCATCCATTACTACAGAGGCTTCAGTATCTCTAACACTCACACAAAATCTCTTTTGGAAGACTTGAGTTATGTGAAGAATGCAATAATGTACAGCTTCAGTAGTTACTGCTGTCACTGCTGAGACCAAACTGTATTGCCCCCTGGCCATAACACACCAGATTTCCTTGGGGAGCACAATTTCAGTAATTCAGAGCATAGAAACAAATATCTCTTCTCCCTCTCCTTTTCCTCCTTCTTACAGGGCTGTAACGAGCCCCTTTTATTGTTTCCAACAGATTTACAACAAACTGGAAATACCCAGCATCTGCTCAGCAATAACAAGATCAGCAGCCATATGTGATTTGAAGCTAAGGCCTAAAGAAGCCCCACCTTTCTCCCCCCAAACAGGTTTTACAAACTCTGTTTCCAAAGGAGAGGGATTTTACAATGACAACAACAGCAGGAATGAGGATATAACTAAGCAAAGAGATTGGACAACTGAGAATATAATTTGCAATAAAAGAGCTTATGAGCTACTTCCAATGGCATTTACAGAATCTCCGCTCAGGGATTCTTACACTGATGTCAATTCACAGATCATACACTACAGACAAACTCCCCTTAAAAAGTTTGCATATACAGATGTTTTAAAATACTTAATGACATAGTTTCAGGCTGTATATAATCAGATGTAATTGTCAATATTTGTCAATTTAAGGATTCTGGCAGAAGACAACAAAGCATTCCCTCTAGGAAGTTGGAGTCTTCATAGTGGAAAATATCATGGCAGTAATCCAAAGCTGGTACTAACATTTCACCCTTCCCACACTGGCATTTTATTCATCTGAAAGCTGGCCAAGCTGTAATTGCTGGAGCTTTCAGCAGCCGTGTCATCTAGCCACACTCATACAAAAAGAGGGCAGTTAGTTCTTGTTACACAAGTCTGGGATTTCAGCTGTACAACTGGGACCTCAAAGTTGTAGTCTTCCAGTAATGTTAGGAATCAATTAATCCAAGTGTGTCCTTTTCCTGTATATGATGATTTATTGCCCCATTTACCCGCTTGGTTTGCTAATAATGACAATTTTAGGTGGCATCAGACCCAATCTGATGTGTTCAGGCTATTTGAAAAGCACACTAAACTTTAACAGTGTATTTTGTATGCTCATGTCAATTCTGGTTACCCAAATCAACATTTCTACTGGCTTTTTTTTAGCTCTTTGGTGTGTTTATGGCAAAAGCCTTCCATCCCCACCCCTCAAAAAACAAAAGAAAAAGCCCCCCAGGAAACTCCAAACAAAACACTCCCACAAACCTAAACTTAAGTGTGGTCTCCCCACATTCCTTTGTACTGCACAGAACAAAGTTATGTGTGAAGGAGCGAGTGCTCTGTTTGTTTTACAGAAGCATAAAGGAAGGTGGCTCCAGTGTAACAAGGAGCTGGCTAGCATAGAGAATACTGCTCATTTTAACAAAGATCTGAGAAATCAAGTACAAACCCCATGTTTTGCTGAGTTATAACAGAAATACCTCAGAAGTGGCTTAGCATGAACTACCTTCTCTACCACCATCACTCATATGGCAGAAAAGTGCGAATTTGTTTTTATTTAATAGTCTGAAAATACTAAGAAGGGAGTTGAGATGATTAATGCAGTACTGTGAAATTTGCTATAGAGATGCAGCAGTAACTGTGCCCCACAGGATTTACTTTTACAACCATGTTCAACATATGAAAATCCCATCCTTACTCTAACAATATGCTATTATTTGACTGAGGTGCCTTAGATCATATCATCAATCGTGTGTCTGGCTTGTGAAGAAGATGCTGAGTTCAGAATTTGCAGCATTAGTCTGTGCAGTGTTTCTAAGCTGTGGGGCAGGATCCAAACCTGTTGCAAATTATCTCCTGGAGCTGGAAACCATAATACCAGATGAATGTGCCTAATTTGTCTGGGTATTGTATTAATAAAGGAGTTTACCCAGGAGGGAAAGGCTAGGCAAAGTCATTTAGGGAATTACAGTTCATCCCTTTTTTTGGTACTATCATCCCATTCCCCTACATGTTTCATTATCTCCCTCCTTCAAAACAATAGAAATATTTGGCTGAATTCTAGAAGCAACACTATGAGATGATGCTGCATTTGTTATTATTTAAATTAATACGCTGATACTGCAGTTTCAAGACTCCTTTTGTAAAACGTACATGCAACAAACAAGAGGCAGCTAGAATTTGCCCAGCTTGATAAACATCAAAAAGAGCATTTAATAAATTAAGCTATAATCTAGATACAAGGCCCAGATCCTGTTTTTGTAAGGAAAATTGACAACTCCCTTGATAAGGTGCAAAAGAAAGGAAACAAGAGAACAGTGTTAGCTGACAATGTAGCACAAGCTAAGACAGCAGCCAGAGACAGCAAAGAAAGCAAACTCTTAAATGGGCAGAAAAAGCTGCTACATGTCAGTACCCAAACAGCTTTACTAGAGAATGGCAGCATTTAGGAGCTAAAAACCTTTATGAAACAAATAAAGGATCAATAAGAAATGCAGAGGGGAGGGTAAGAAATTACGAAACCAAAACACTGATTAAGAAGCATATGAGTTTATGTAGAGTCCTGCCACACAATACTTTGACAGCAATTCAAAGTGACTGCATGAAGAAAATGGAATTGATACAATTTTTTTTAAAGTAATGCATGTCAACTGAAGCACAGAATCTGAACAGTTTTATTGTAGAAACGCTCATTGTGCACACTCAAAGAATGAACAAAAACATGGAAGGTGGAAAATGTACCATCAAAAGCCTGCAAGGAGTAGTAACAAATCCTTTTTCATAATGTCATATCCTGTGTAGCCAGGACACTAATAGGAGTTAAATATTTTCAAAAACCCACCAAAATGGGAAACTAAGAGGTAGAGGTTTAGGAAAAAAACTCTTAAGTGACCTAGGGGAAAAAAGGAAAAAAAAAAAGAAAAAGCAGAGCAACATATTATTACAAAAATCTCCAAAAATGGGGGAACACAGTAACACTAAAAGCAGTCTAAGAACAACAGAAAGCATATTATCATGTGGCAGCACACAAACTAACATTCTAGAGCCAAACAAATTCCTCTGCATTACTAGATATGTAGCTGGAATACTATAATGATGTCCATCAGTGAAAAAACACAACAGGAGAACACAGAGGAGAATTTCAATAGATTACCAAAAAAAAAAAAGTGTAATTTAGATGAGGATATTTGCAAGCCATGAAAGAGTATCACGAAATTGGCTCTCTTTTCTTAGGTCATTATTAAGATAAAGCAATTTCCTCTAGTAGATTTAGTTACTAAGAAGTCCACACGTCAGGTTAACTATGAAAAGTTATCTACGATATTTTCATAATATGAGTCAATTAAGAGCTGACTTTTTAAAAGTATGCAATAAATTTGAGAGAGACATTTCCAGCACAAGATATACTTACATTTAAGTTTAGCCCTTAAGTTATTACATGGAATTGTTACAAGTCAACAGTAGGTGGTTTATAAAATGTAATTTTATTTCATGTTACTTTGCTGTTACAGAGGGCAATAACATTTTCACAAGGCTTTTTTGGGACTACAATCAATGATTAGCAACACACAATAGTGGTCCAAACTCTCTAACAATCACTGGACAAACTTGACACCTTCTCACATGTGCACAAACCTGCATGGAAAAGTACTAAATTTTATACTTGGACATGTGAACTTCAATTGGTTTTCCCATTCCAGTGTATTAAGAAATGACATGCACTTCAGTCTGCCAAAAAGCACTGCCTGTACTCCAGCAGTAACATGCTGCTTCTAATACATAGTAAAGTGAATACCAGAACTACAAAGGCAGGAGTGTAAGTGAACTTTTATTGGGAAGGGATATCAACTTAAACAGCAGCAACTGAAGATTAAGAGAAGCCCCTGTTTTCGAACACACAAGTTTCTGTATTACATGATACGGGAAGCAACTCAATTTATGATTTTCCAAACTTTAAATGCTCAACTTGATCTGGCCCAGTACTTCCATATTCCTACTGAAATGAATACACAGTAGCATGTGAAAGTCAATTATGGAAAGGAAACCCTGCAGAATAAGAAGGGAATGTGGAGAATTAAATGCTATGTGGAACACTCTTTAGTTGCAATTAACTACATTTTCATATCTTACTGTAATACAAAACACAGTCAACTGGCAGGAACTGGTTCAGATTTGTTTTTAAATACCAGGTACACTTTAGTCCGCTACATAAGTGTTTGGAAGTTACTTATGTTTATATGAAATGAAGCTATTAATACTTTTCTACAGCAGTAACCGCACACCAGGAAGGCCAGGACAAACACAAATCAAGGAATGGAGTTTTCCCAAAGCTGCAGTGTGAAAGGACTATAAATTGATTTCCATACACATGGATGGGTTTTCTTTGCTATAGGAAATCCAAGTGGAGCTATAAGGAATGGAGACGTGTAAAAAGGTTTCTTGAGAAGGAAAGGGAGAACGACGCCCCACGTGCAGTTTAGTTTTCTGCACCTTCTGCAGCATCACATTCTTCTCCTGCACTGTCTGATGTCCATAACTAGAAAGAAGAGAAAAACGATATCAGCTTTCAGAAGCACAGCTGGAATTCCAAAAAGTGACTACTGTATGGAAATGGTAATGAATTAAGACTTAAGGATCTCTACAAAGTACCAGTGCACTGGCACTGCACAGCCCTGGCTTCCAGTACTTGCTGGGAGAGAGGTAACTGGAAAGGGTCCCTGTGCACAGGGCCCAACCCGGTTAGGCCCAACCCGGTTAGGCCCAACCCGGCTAGGCCCAACCCGGCTAGGCCCAACCCGGCTAGGCCCAACCCGGCTAGGCCCAACCCGGCTAGGCCCTCAGGTAGAGGGGCAGAGCAAACTGTTCTAAACAGCTCTAGCTTTTGTGTTTAACAGCAAGCTGTGCCATCGACCCCAGGGCATTCTACAAGCCTGAACAGCAGCTTCACAGGTAACTTCCATTTCAAACACACCAGTCTGATCCTGGAAGTGTAAACTGCCATTCTGGTTATCGAAGCTAAGCACTTCATACTGCTAACAACAGACATTTCTACTGAAGGAGTGCTACAAAATAACAAATGTTGCTATATTTTTAAATACCGTGAATATCTAGAGAGGATATTCCTTGAAAAATTGTCTTTGTTTCCTATTTTAATAGAACCTAGTTGTTCCATTAGGCACTTTTCTTAAATAGTTAATCATTACAATAACATACTCAAACATCAACTGATTTTATTCTTAATACATTGAAATTTCAGTTCTTTTAAAAGAAAATCAGGACAATGAATCAAGCAAGCTACACTGGATGTACAACAAGAAAAACTTTTTGGTTTGAGGTAGTCATCAAAAAAGTTTGAGGATGAATCCCTGACAGATCATGGATTATTGTGATTTAACTCCTTGCCTCATCTTGTACATCAGGTTAGCTGAATGCCCCTTCTCCCTTCCACTGAGAAGGCCATCAAACCAGGAAGAATGTGAGCTACTCAAGCTGTTATTCCAGATTACACAGCATGAACAACATGTAAGTTGACAGCAACATTAAAACTAAGTTATGAAAAGGTATCGTAGGTAAACAGCCTGAGTCAGTGCTATGCTTTGCATCAGAGTGAAAGAAAGGCTTTGTTAATCACAAAT